CCACAAGATGCTACACCTATCTTCATTCTTTTCAGGACTCTGAAGACTTTGTTTCTTAGGAAGATATTATCTTGCTATAGGTTTGTATTTGGTTCTTGTGTAAGCTCTGACTTCAGTGAGACTTTGTCTGAACAAAGAGGAAATCACACTGGCAAAATTATCTGAAAGGAGGGTGCTGTGTGTGTGTAGGAGCAGAGGGATCCCAGGTCACTTATGGGCAGAGAGCATGGGGCACGCACCCTGGGTCACTCATGTGGAGATATCCCTAGGCGCTTGTGGAGAATTGGAGGAATGATGTAAAAGGTACAGAAATGGAATAGAAGCTGGAGGCCAGTCTTTAAACCAGCAGCAGCTAAGCATGTGTCTGTTATCCAGTGTTTCATCCAAGGCTGAAAACACCTGGTTTTATTCTCCCTTCAATACAACATTACAGAGCAAAAGGACTGAGAATTTGGCTGTTCGTATCAGGAAAGTTTGGGTAAAAAATATAGCTCAGAAGCCTCTGTTTCAAGATTGGACATACATTCCTTTAAAACAACAAGTCCCCAGTCTCAAAGCAGCAATTTTAAAGGAGGCTCCTCCTTTCCTAATAAATAGATTTGTTTTAGTTTGCTGTCTTCCACTGGACTCTCGGATTAGATCATTAAAGAACAGAGGCCCCATCTCATCTATGTAAACATTAAAGACCACATATACTTTCCATAAAATGAGGTTTGCTGAAACCTCCTATTCACAAAGTTTTCCCTCCTTTCCCTGCCTTGCTCCCACTGATAATAAATCTGCTGCACTCTATGTATCGTTTTTATGAAGCATTTTGGGATACTTTAAAATGAAATTCTTAATAAAAATGTAAATTATTATTATTGTAAAAACATGTTGGCCCACTGTGCAACATAACATTCTCAGGAGCAGCATTCTTTCAAAGTAGGATTTGAAAAACAGCACAGAATTTAACTTGAATCAAATGGCATTATGTATTTAGTCATTTATCAAAGCCACTTGGTAGAAGTTGGGGAAAACATTAGTTAATCTTATTCATTTGGGGGTTCCTGGTTATGCAGCAATACTCTTCTTTCCCATTTCTTAGTTCCCCTTCCCTCTCAAAGGCCTGTAATGTCTCTGCCTCCTATTGAGCTTGAAGCAAGACCTTTTTTGCTGCTATAATGTGTGAACCAGCCAACAGAGGCTGCTTAAAGTTAGTATGGAATATTCCAGGCACTGCAAGGAGCACCCAAGTGAATAGCATCCACAGCATGAAACATCTGCCTCACTGGGTCTGAATTAGCTCCCCTCTGAGACAGTGAATTAGCAATACTTTGGCCTGTTAATTCAGCTGTTAAGTGATTTTGGTTGGGTTTGGGAAGAGCATTTTTCTGCTTAAAAGCAGCAACACTCTGCAACTCTCTTTCAGGTTGTTTAGATAGTTTGGGTCAAAATTTCAAGTGCATGTGGTGCACGTAAAAGGTGACAATTTGCCACATTGCAAAAGGAAATTCTTTGTTGATGAACTATCTAATGGCAGTGTAGGCTGTTCATTATTAAGACAGCCTGAGATGCACAACTGCTGCCTAACACAGCTCCTTCAGGGGTCCATGGGACTTTTTACTTTGACAAGCAGACTAGTTAGAGCATAGAATCATAAAATCATAGAATCTTTTAAGTTGGAAAAGACCTTTAAGATCATCAAGTCCGACCGTTAACCTAGCACTGCCAAGTCCACCACTAAACCATGGCCCTAAGTACCACATCTACGCATCTTTTAAATAACCCTCCTGGCTCAACTTGAGGCTGTTTCCTCCTATCCTATTGCTTGTTACTTGGGAGAAGACACCGACCCCCACCGTGCTACAACCTCCTTTTAGGCAGTTGTAGAGAGCAATGAGGTCTCCCCTCAGCCTCCTCTTCTCCAGACTAAACAACCCCAGCTCCCTCAGCCGATTCTCATAAGACTTGTGCTCTAGACCCTTCACCACCTTCGTTGCCCATCTTTGGACACACTCCAGCACCTCAATGCCTTTCTTGTAGCGCGGGTCCCAAAACTGAACACAGGACTCGAGGTGCAGCCTCAGCAGTGCCAAGTACAGGGGGACGATCATTTCCCTAGTTCTGCTGGCCACGCTATTTCTGATACAAGCCAGGATGCTATTGGCCTTCCTGGCCACCTGGGCATACTGCTGGATCATATTCAGCTAGCTGTTGACCAACACCCCCAGGTCCTTTTGTGCCGGGCAGCTCTACAGCCATCTTCCCCAAGCCTGTAGCATTGCATGGGGTTGTTGTGACCCAAGTGCAGGACCTGGCTCTTAGCCTTGTTGTACCTCATACAGTTGGCCTCAGCCCATCGATCCAGCTTGTCCAGATCCCGCTGTAGAGCCTTCCTACCCTCCAGCAGGTCAACACTCCCACCTGACTTGGTGTTGTCTGCAAACTTACTGAGGGTGCACTCAATTCCCTTGTCCAGATCATTGATAAAGATATTAAACAGAACTGGCCCCAATACTGAGCCCTGGGAAACACCACTTGTGACTGGCCACCAACTGGACTTAACTCCATTCACCACAACTCTTTGGGCCCAGCCACCCAGACAGATTTTTACCCAGAGAAGTGTACGCCCATCCAAGCCATGAGCAGCCAGTTTGTCCAGGAGAATGCTGTGGGAAATGGTGTCAGAGGCTTTACTGAAGTCCAGGTAGACAACATCCACAGGCTTTTCCCTCATTCACTAAGCGGGTCACCCTGTCATAGAAGGAGACCTGGTTAGTCAAGCAGGACCTGCCTTTCATAAACCCATGCTGACTAGGCCTGATCACCTGGTTGTCCTGAATGTGCTACATGATGGCACTCAAGATGATCTAATCCATAACCGTCCCTGACACTGATATCAGACTGACAGGCCTGTAGTCCCTCAGATCCTCTTCCCAGCCCTTCTTGTAGCTGTGCATAACATTTGTGAACTTCCAGTCGACTGGGACCTCCTGGTTAGCCAGGACTGCTGATACGTGATGGAAAGTGGCTTGGTGAGCACTTCCACCAGCTCCCTCAGTACCCTTGGGTGGATCCCGTCTGGCCCCATAGACTTGTGTATGTCTAAGTGGTGTAGCAGGTCACTAACCATT